TACGACTACCTCCCTATTACTGCATTTTTAACCCGATTGAGTTGGTCTGGGCTGCTTTAAAAAAAAAGTGAGAAAACATAATCAGACCCCTCAATTAAGTGAATCGTTATTGACCACAATAAGAGATGCAGTATCTCATATTGCTGCCACAGACCTATGGAAGCAGTGTTCTAGGCATATTATTGAAAAAGAAAATGAATATTGTGTTTTGCCTCCTGTAAATCCCGTTGTAATTCCTCTACAAGATGACTCTAGCGACAGCTCCGAAGGCGAGGATGATATATAAATACCTATAATGTAAGTATTTATATACCTTTTTATATACCTACCTGCTATGTAAATATTTGCCTACAAACGTTGGAATTCTGTAATTTTTCCATTTCTTAACTTTCAGTCAACATAAATTAAACTCCCAATATAAGTATTTTTTATCCCAAATCAAAAAAATAAGAAGATAGTAAAATCCATTTATTGTGATATAAAAACATTATTATTATCGTTATAAATAAATGACCGCACGCCTATGGTACGTCATGAAATTACAAAGGACGCGCCGACCAAAGGTTTTTATGCTATTTCAAGTGACTTCAGATAAAGTATACAGATGTAACATTCGTATGCAACGGTGTGATTTAGACCTTTTTTGTACATCAGTAGGACAAATCAAGGCTGTGTTTCTAAACAGCACATTGCCTTGATGCCATTAGTATTATATACTATTATATATATATATATATATATATATATATATCTTATCTCTGTTTTGCATTTTAAAATGTTGTTTTGTCTTTTTAATTTATTTTCTAGTAAGGGCTCTTACATTTAAATACATTTGTGTGTTTGTAAGAGGGTAAATAAGTAAATAAGTAAATAAACAGTATGAAGGCAGCTGCTGTCGTGGATAGTCCAGGCTTGAAACCGTGTTGGTTTGCTGACAAAGTCGAGTTTTCGTTGATGAAGTTGTTTAATCTATATTGGACAAATACAGGCGCCAATGACAAGGCGTAATTTTTAAGGAATCTTGTCGAACCCATACTTTATGGAGAAACTGTAACATGAAACGACAGAAAAATGTAGAATTCAAATTGTTTTGTAGATTTTCGCTGTTAACTATTGCTGTTGGAAGTGAAACAAAACATCAAATTTGTCTCCTCCTTTCAATTATACCTCGACCACAGCTAATCTATAAAACAACGTATCTCGATTTCTAAATATGTAGACTTGCCTAATATCATTAACAGCCATATATGCAACATTTTGTAATGCTGGATCATCCTGTACACGTACTTCCAACGAACGACTACCTGTTTATAATCTTTTTTCATATGTTTCTTTACATTTCGCAAGAAAAAAGTGGGTGAAAGTCCCGGCCAGCAACATTTCAGCGCCACATGTATTGTTTCAAGTACCGTGACAAAAACCCTGTCATTCGAGGGAGTACCTCTTTCCAGTTAACTCTGTATTCTTTGATTTACTTTACGCCGAAGGAGTCAGTCAATAGAACCTGACCCTGTCTTAACCTTTGAGATTTCATCCATAGATAAGAAGTGAAAATACGTACATTTGGGAAAATACTTAATAGGATACATTTCTTAGCTACTATTAAATATTTTATGTACAGTAAAATCACTTCCTTTGATAGAATAAACTTAGCATGTTTTATTAAAGGGGCTCCCATTCCTAGGATAAGAGGGAGGTTAACCCTAACGCGACTAAATACGTTAGCGTCTACTAGAATCCAGGATGATTTAGTTGTTTGGTAGGGAAATGGGAACAAGAAAATTAATAACCGCCGGCAGTTGGCAGCAGATCCCCTAAGCCGTCTCATTTTCCTCCCACGGAAGACAATATGGAGAGAGGCTTAAGTGTTTAAGCTAGATGTTAGTAGGGTCGTGTCCTTTGCTTTCTGTTCTATATGCTATATTCTAGCTTTTATTAAATTACGCGCGAATAAATATTAGTTTGCTTGGTAATAGTAAAGCCTTGGAAGCAATATAAGTTGGTGCTAAACCGTTACATTATGCAAACCACCATCGCTAGTATTTTCGGAGAAAAAAAAACTAATTTCCCTAACACTGTAATTATTTCTTCATGAATTGATTTCAAATGAGATTTGAAAATAGAATGCCAGCTTTCACCCTTTACAAGGTAGAATAACTGGAATTTCTGTATGACGTTTTGTTTACAAATATTGGTAGGTTGGTGAGTACTTAGTACTCCCCGAGTATCTCAGAAACGGACTCATTCAGAAATTCCGGGAAACTATTTTCTTTTTACCGTAGGTAGGGGTCGGTAGTACCACTATTTACAAACTACGCTTAGATGTAAATGTCATCTTTACAAGTACTTTTCACATGACGTTGCGTGTCTTGTCCGCAATCATAAACCCTTTATTTTGTTAGGGTCACCATTTTGAAATTCTGCGTAGATATCTACGAGCCCCTTCCCACTTCAGTTGGCCCAACTATTGAAATCTTAGTTTTTTCTTATCAAACACAAATAATAAATATGTAGCAGGGTGTTATAGGTTCAAAATATTAACAATGAATATTTTGAGAATATGTAGTAGAAAACACCAACTTTATCACTCCCTAATCAAATTTGCAGCATAAAAACAACACATGTTGCAATTACAGCATATCAACCTATTTTCATTTCAATACATGACAATTGTTTTTGGTAATCACAGCTGTCAGAATACGTTTAAAATAGTTTTGGGTAGTTAAGGTTTTCAAAATGGGTAGAAGAAAGGTTATTAGTGAGAAAATTCGGTTACTGATAATTAAATTTTATAATTCTAGGAAATCAAACTTAGAAATTGCAACTTTGTTAGACTTATCGCGGAACAGTGTGAGAAATATTGTTAGAAAATATAACGTAACTGGTTCAGTTAATATTAAGCCACGATATGTGAAAAAAAGTGATATCACAAATGCCAACCGAAGAGCATTAGAAGAATAATCGTGAAAAACAGGCGTGCCAATTATTTACAATTAAGTGCTCTGTGGAGTGACGCTGTTGGAAGGAGAATTTCGAGGTCCACAACTCATAGAGAGACCCACAAACTGGGATTTAGCACTTGCAAGGTAAGTTTTCTTATAAAAAAAAGGAAAGTAAGAACCCTAAAGTTGCACAACTTGTTTATAGACCAAAGAAAAGCCACTATTAACTCCACTGCAAAAGAAAAATCGGCTTAGATGGGCTAAAGAACATAGACAATGGACACCTCAACAATGGTGTGCAATACAATGGAGTGATGAGGCCCGATTCGAAATTTGTGTTGGTGACAGTCGCAGTAGAGTTATTCGCAAAAAAAATGAAGCATTCCATGTTGACTGTCTGAAGAGAAAAGTGAAATTTCCAGCATCCATTATGGTCTGGGGCAGTATGTCATCAAAAGGAGTAGGAAAACTTCATTTTATTGATGGCAATGTGGATACAAACAAATATTTGGCAATTTTAGAAGAATCGCTTTTACCAGTGATGGAAGAATGTTTGACATCCGGCAAGATTTTGTGTTTCAGCAAGATGGTGCAGCGTGCCATACCTTAAAAAAGGCTATAAAATGGATGGAAGAAAGTAATGTAGAACTTTTGAAATGGGTTTCTAGCAGTCCAGATCTGTCATCTATTGAAACTTTGTGACACGAGATGAAAAAGGTTCTACGACAACATCCTGCTCGTACAATGACCGAACTGAAACAAAAGCTTCAAGAAATATGGGATTGTTTTACACCACAAATTTTTGCCAAAACTTGGTTAACACTATGCCCCAGAGAATTTCAGCCGTAATAAAGAATAAAGGTGATGTTACCCAATGGTAACTTTCAATTGTTGCTTTGTTAACATTTATTCGCACAGTGGTTATTTGTTCAGATGTTCTATTAGTTATAGGTTTGGTGATTTCAAATATGTATTTTTTACGACTAGAGTGTATTTAAAATGGTTTTGAGAAAATAAATTGTTTAAGAAGTAAATAGTTTCGTCATGTTTAGTTTTTAAAGGCATATTTTGGTACAAATCTTGAAGTGAGCCAACTGAAGTGGGAAGGGGCTCGTAGAGTGTTTAATTCTGATTCCAAAAATGTGTGTATGATATATTACAGTGGTTATTAAAAAACAGTAACTACATAATATGCCATAAATAGTCCTTAGAACTTTCAGATAATCATTTAATTCACAATATCATTATCCAAGTATTTCTTCATTTTGCATAAACTGGTCAAGGTAAACAGTTTCTATTTGCGATTTCAACCGTGATATGATATGGATTGATATTACAAAACCAAAGCTTCGACGAAGTTGCAGGGTGTTAATCACACTTGCATACTAGTCATATCTAAATCGATGCTCATATCCTGTGTAGTAGTTTTTAATATCAAAAATGGAATGAATATTCTTCAAAAACGCAACCTATTATCTGAAACAATCATTAAATAGTGAAGTCTATGACAAACTACGATAATATCAGTTTTTTTCTAAGTAAGTTTTGCTATGTTAATGTTGGTATTATAAATTATCGGAAGACATCATTTTCGTTTTTTTAAGAATTCAATATGGCGTCCATAAGTAAAAATAAAGTTGTGATTAGAGGACAAGAAGAACAACGTCAATTTGGAATTCTTATTATGCAATCACAGACTGAAATCACGCTTTAAATAAAGTCAGAAAAAAGTGGTTTTTTTTCGACTCTGAACCGTAAATCCCTTCAAAAGAATTTTTTTCATCTACCTAAATACGCAATCCTGCCTCCATTTAAGCGACTCCTTGTATCTTGCCGTTTCTAAGAACTCAATGGTGAGAATCAAATTTGAAACACCTGGTATAGTTTATACAACGTATGTTCAAGCAAAAACTGGTCGATACGACCACTCTCTGTTAAAGGAGAGAGATTGTTGGGGGCATGAAAAGATTGGCCAAATGGAGCTTCACCAAGTTGTACCCACCGCGACAGTTCAAACCTTCTATAAATAAGAACAAATGCAAACCTGTGTTGTTTTCTTTCAGGACTACCTTCAATGCGAGACAGTCTGACAAACCCAGTGCACGTATACGAAGGCGATGACGCTCTTATCACTTGCGTGGTACGAGACATCGGTACCAACACGGTCATGTGGAAGAAAGAAGACAGGGAGAGGCATAGTACCAGGGTACTGACAGCAGGGGAGAACAGGGTGACAGCTGACAGGCGGTACGGGGTACTGCATGACTCTGGTAAGCTCAAATTGCTTCAAGTTATTTTGCCACGTGTTCGTACGAGTACAGTTCAAAACGGAAAGATCCTTAAAGTGTTAGTCATTTTCTGAAGTGGCACCGAAATGACTGGCAGGTTTGAGAAAAATAAAAAAAGAATTTCTTGAAAATTTTATAGGTGCTACTCGCAAAATATCTAAGGTTTGCAGATTTCAAAAAGTTGGACGTTCAACAAGAAGCTTTTGCTAAGACCCAAGTTGGTCTAGAACGCCAAAAAGCTCGCAAAAGTACAATTTCTACGGCATTTATAAGATTTTCAGTACAGGTTCACAGACTTAAATCTGGGAAGGGATTGAAGGTCACTTCAAGGTCACATCAAGTACATTTTCAACAGAAAGCTCAAGCGCATGTTTTTATATACTTGAGCTACCATCGCAAGCCTAAAGACTAAATACCGGCACCGGTATTATGTATCTTGAAAGGTGACGTTTTTTGTGACATAATAGGTTCTTCTACAAGATATTAACTTAGCACAAGCTTATATACACTCGCTGTGAACTCGTTGCTTAAACGTGAGCGAACAGCGATCATCGCGAGCAAACGTGGAATAAACTATTTGCCGGGGGTACCCTGATGCAAATAGGGGATACAGGGGAATTTCTCGGACCCTAGCGAGCGAACAGGTGTGCTTTTGACATGCACACATCCTGGTGTCGCCTTAGAGATTCGTCGGGTAGTACCTCGACGGACAATTTCAACATCCAAAGCCAACATAAAAATTCTCTGAACCCGAGCAGCTCACGGTGACTGATTAGTAGTAGAGTGCCTATAAATCATTTAGGATTTTTTGATGATAGTTCCTAGTCACTAGGAGGGCATCTGAAGTACATTTCAGGGTCACTTCAAGAATCAATTCAAAACAAGTCTAGTGATGAAGTTTTTGCGGTCATGGAGTCAAAATCAGAGATTTAGTTGTCTCTAGGAAGGTAGTTGAAGAGTGTTTTAAGGCCAATCAAAAGGAGTTAAACAATCATTTCCGACCACCTGCAGTATATAAGGAAAGATATCTCAATAGTTTGCCAAATTTAGCAAAAACTTACACCAGATTTTATCTGACAGTACAGTTTTACAAACATTTTTCGTTTTAAAACTTTATTAAAAACCCCTTTGGATAATACTAACATAAAAAGATGAAGCTAAAAAGTTAAAAGTTCAACTCACGGTGTACAAGAAAACAACAACTATGACAGTTCTATTACATCAAATGAAAGTTGAGCTCAGTTCATTTTTCAAATATTTTCAATACAGAACCTCATGATTCTGCATGTGTAAATGATACACCAAGAACTTCAAGTTTAATAGTCTGCCACGTTCCAAATTCATATCCAACTGTATTTTTTAAGGTAGTAACTTCAAGATAGGAAATAACTTTCATTCGTTTCCGATACTTCTCTTGTTAAATTTTTTGCTAGGTTTTCGAATAAGTGAACCACTGTCCGATCTACAATTATCAAAGAAACTGTCAAGAACTAAAAAATCTCCGACAGGCATGATAAACATATTCTTGTATTTCTAAACAGTTCAAATCCATAATAATTACTTAAATGCTTCTCTGTTGCCATTCATCAGCCTGCACCTAAAGTTACATTACAAAACGCGCACAAAATGGTTTATATTCATCAGCAACGGATATATCTGAAGTTTAATATCTAGTTTTACCGTTATTTGTCTCAAAATGGACAGCTCTATGTGATTCCGATATTGTATTTCCCAGTATTTGCCAAAGCTGTAATTGCTCATTTCGTGTATCGGTCACAACTTTGCCTATTAGGCAAATTTCTGTCAACAACATGAAACGGGTAACTGCACAAATTCTACATGTATCATATGCAGTTTGCTGTTTCACAACATCATTTGATGATGCACTTGAGTAAAGTTAAACATTTTCTATAAATATACTTAGTGACATATAAATCCGAACACCCAGCTTAAATGGTTTTGTTTTAATAAAATTTTGTATAAGTACTTAATGAAGCATAATAAGTAAATGATAAAAATTTCAAAATGATTGCACTGCTTTAAAGCCCTTTGACCTTTACTAATGTGTGAATGCACCCTGATGTGCTGCGCATTCTCCAACGCGCCTAGGCATGCTTCTGATCAAGTGGTCAATGTCCTACTGTGGTATCTCATTCCAGGCAACCACCAACTCCTCTTCTAGAGTCTGAGGAGGACGCAAATTGAGCAATCTCCTACCCGATCATATCCCACACGTGCACAATTGGGGATAAGTCGGGAGATCTTGGTGGCCATGGTAACAATGTGACATCATTATGTTGAAAGAAGTCTATTGTGACTCTTGCAACATGTGGTCGGGCATTATCTTGTTGGAAAGTTGGATCTGCCAGGGTGTCAAGATAGGGTAAAAGATGGGGTTCTAGAACTTCATGAATATAACGCTGCACGTTCATGTTACCTCTGATGAAGATTAAAGGTGACCTGGAACCATAAGCTATAGCACCCCAAACCATAAGTCCAACAGTGTGATATACATGTCTTTCAACAAAAAACTTGCGGATTCCTCCTTTCACCACGTCGCCTTCTAACCCTGGCACGACCATCGTGCATGCCTAAACAAAATCGAGACGCGTCACTAAAGACAATACTGTTCCATTCCTGATCCCAGAGTGACCGTTGTCTGCACCACTCAAGGCGATTACGTCGGTGTTCTCGAGTTAAAGGGAGGACCCAGTGTGGCCGGTATGAAAACAAGCCAAAATTTCTCATTCGTCGGTAAACACTTCGCATGCCAATAGGTCTTCCGTGTTCTGCAAACCATTCATTTGCAATGGTCCTGGTAGTGGAGAAACGGTTCCTTAAGGCCAATAATCTTAGGCGGCAATCTTCACGGTCTGTTGTTCTACGGCGGCGTCCAGTGCCCCTTGCTCTTTGCGTACGGCCTTCTCGAAGCCATGTGTGACAACACCTAACCACAGTATCTACACTTCTTTGCACTCTAACTGCAATTGCCCGAAAAGAAAGTCCAGCTTCCTGAAGTCCCACTATACGGCCCCTATCAAACTCACTAAGTTGACGAAATCGTACAGGTCTCCGTACTCTAGGCATCGTAACCGATCGTAAACGATGTCAAGAACCAAAATCCGCCAACGTTGATTCTTTACTGCGGCTGAAATATTCATTTTTATAGCGTTAGTGAATTAAAAAAAAGCAGTATAAAAACCGGAATGTCCAACTGATAAGGCTGAAAATTTTTTCACTTGTTATTTACAGTAAGGTAAATACATTCACCAACTTTTATTAAAATAAAACCATTTAAACTGGGTGTTCGGATTTATATGTGACTTAGTATATAAATATCAAATCAAGACGCATTGTAATTCCTTGAAAGGGCCGGTTTAATTTTAATTCACGGCTTAGATTATAACAACACTTTTGCGTTTGGTTGTTAACTGTTTATTTTATAACTGTTCCGTTTTCTTTTTCCTGCACCATCTAGTTTATTCATTTACACCCTTAAATTAACATATGCTCAGAAAACATGGAAAGAAGAACAAGGGTAAGATTGTTAACCCAAAAATATATAAAAATAAAAAAATAACTTTGCAGGTGTTCCGAATTTTTGCTAATTATGACTCCGCCAGTCTGTAATGCTATACGTACGAGTACCACACCTTTAAGCAATCATTTCTCATTTTTTAGCAAAATCGGTTACGTAGTTGCCGAGACTTCGTGACGACAAATAACCAAGGGAATACAAAAAAAAAACGACAGAAAAATACAACGATCAAAAATGAGCGACGTGGTCTTCGTTCATCATCTGCATCTGAATATCACTAAATACAAAGTGGTTAGACTCCGCCGAAAACAGCAAATAGTAATTTACCCCATCAGAGGAAATGTAATCAGTCGACGCGAAACGGTTTGTTATTTAGGGGTGACATTTGATAGTAGGATCAATTTTGACTATCACATTACTCAAACTGTAAATAGTGCAAATTGAGATTGTTAGAAATTATAAACTAATTAAAGACTTGGCTGCATTAAGAACACTACACTTACTATATTTACGTTCCAAATTAGTATAATGCTTTGTTGATTTTGAGTCTTAATAAATATTATATAAATCAACTCGTTCATGTCCAAACAAGATTTCTCAATATTACTAGATTGATTCAGTTGATCCTCAGCGTTGGTCAGACTACCAAGTATTGTTGGAATGGTTCCAAGTTGCCTCGTTGAGTGGGAGAAGAAAACGCAACTGCGTCATCTTCTTGTACAAACTTTTGGGTGGTACTGTTGATTCTTCTCATCTGTTATCCCAGCTCCAATTTTTAGTTCCAACGACATGTTCTAGAAAAAATATTTTTGCACGCGTGCAATACCAACTTAGCTTAGCTTTAAAATTTCCTGTATTTACTTACATGAACATGAACAGTATTTATGACATATTTGTGTTCTCTTTCTCAACTCATGACGGTTTTATGGCAGTACCTTAAACAACGTTATACATATCGTATTAATTTTGTTTATTCTTAAATTTGAACAAATTACTATTGCTTTTTTTATTGTATGCCAGATCTCGATTCTTTGTCCTGTAAATGGGATTATGAAAACTCAATAAATGCTGTTTTTACTATTATTATAAGTCTTATCGTGAAAAAATAACTTTATAAAATGGAACTCCTAAAAGATATCCTGTAGTTTTCATGTTCATAGGATTCCATTGTCTGGACAAAAGAAACCACATGTTTTAATTACTCTTTATTGTACAAGGCTCAAAGTCGTACAATAAACAGAAATTACGTATGTGGTCTGATTCAGCCAGACAACGGAGTCGTATGGACTTTACAGAAGCTCTACTGCCATATACTCGTGGAAAAGTTTACTCATTCGACCATTTAGAATTAGCTAGTTAATATCCTCAAGTATCTGAATTAATTATCTCGAAGAAAGAATCATCTACGCAATAGTAAGGCTATAACCAACACCATCATTCGTAG